TTTGTGTGTGTGCGTTTGTGTGTGTGCGTTTGTGTATGTGTGTGTGTGTGTGTGTGTGTGTATATATTTATATAATTATATACTATCTGTAGTATTTATGTGGTTTTATGTTTCTAATTGGTTATGTAGCAGTGAAATATCAAATTAAACCTGTGTTTGTTTGTTTGTTTTATTTATATTTCAGATTATTTTCTTTTTTTTGGTTGATGTTAGAAATATTGTTGTTGTTTATTTTAGGGATGTTTTAAAATGAAGACCCTGAACTCTGTAAAACAAAGATTGAAATATCCGACACAAAAAGTTTCTGCTTCGTGACGAGCGTGAACAGAAGTCACTGCCATCGTTTTCCAGATGTAATGTTTTGTTCACGTTCCTTAAAGCAAAACACATTTTATTTTATTTCTTCTCTAAACAAACTTTGGTTTGGACTTAAAAAGTCTTTTCCACATTTCTCTCAGTTTTTGTTATAAAGATGTTTCCCACGCTTCCTGTTTCCCACGTTTCCTGTTTCCCACGCTTCCTGTTTCCTGGAGTGACGCTCGTCTTCCTGAACGTATCGACGTCGGGACTTCTGTCCCTCGCCTGCAGTCAAGCTGCATGGAACCAGCGCCGCACAGCAGGTAGAAGGTTGCTGGTTCAACTCCTCGCTGGCTTTGTTCCCTTCAGGACGTGCACACTGTCTCCTGTGCATGTGTGGCTTTATTTAAGTGCCCATCAGTCCAAAAACCTGCCTGTTGGGGTGATCAGAGACCTGGATCTGGTCCTGAATGTGCACGGCTCTTTGTCTCTGTGTGGTGGACCGGTCCTGACTGGACCCGGCCCCTCGTCCCAGAACCTCTGGAGAGCAGCTCCAGCTCCTCACCAGCCTGAGCAGAGTCAAGCAGGCAGAGAAGAGGCACAGATGGCTGGATCCTGAATCCAAACGGACCCAGCAGAACCTCCTGTTCTACCGCCGTTGAGTTCCAGTCAGCAGGAAGAACCTGGCAGTCTGGCAGAACCTCCGAGGGGGGGTTGGGTGCCGTTCCTCGCAGTGTTCCCTCCTCATCTAGAAGTCTTTCACTGGGACCTGGGTGAGGCTCAGGTGAGTTCAGGTCCTGTACTTCGTCGGTCTGGTGGACCTTGTCGGGGTTTTCAGTTTTGTCGTGCGTCATCTGTTCTTGTGTCTCCACCTCGAGGATGTCAGAGTCCTCACGGGGTCCACCCGGAACAGCAACGATGACGTGCGGGTCCGACACCTGAACAGACAGAACCTGCTCAGTCTCAGGACTCTGGCAGGGTCACCTTGGAGGAAGAACCGTCACCAGCAGGAGGCGCTGAAGCTTCACTGATGGTTCTGGTTCTGACCCACTCTCTGATATTTCAACTGATGATAAAAAGTTTTAGATACTGACCCAAAAGTGAGGCGGCAACGTCGGCTTTTGGAAATACTGCTGGCAGGACTTTGGCCGGCAGTGAACGATGAACCAGAACACACCGACCAAAAGGCCCAACATGGCGACCACGGTCACCGTCACTGTGGTGGGCTTCTTCCAGGCCGGAGCGCCTGGACCTGCAGGAGAGAGGGGGACAGGTCGGTTCAGGTCTGACAAAGTACCTGACAGGAGTTCTGGAACCAGTTTCTGGGTCTGAGCACGAGAACATGGGCAACAAAAGGATGTGCACGAGCTGAACCCAGCTCTGCAAGCCGTGCACAGAAACAGACTGTGGTTCAGCAATCGGCCGTGCCGGGGCGATTTCTTTTTGGGGGGGCTCAAGCTCTTCTAAACTTTATCTCAGCACCCCTGAGAAATAAAGGGCAGGGAAGTCTGAGATTGTCATCGCAGTATGTTCCCACACAATGACACAACAGTTCTCTGCATTTAACCATCACACCTGAGATACACACAGGTGGAGCAGCGGGCAGCTAAGCAAGCACCGGGGAGCAGTTAGGGATTGGGTGTCTTGCTCAGAGACACCACAACATGCAGGAATGGGAGTCGAGCTGCAGTTTTCTGGTCCCAGGTCAGCTACCTCTACCCCATCTTGGCCCCCATGAAGAAATGAACCATTGTTAGGATTTTGTAAGGACTCAGCTCTCAAACCTTAAATTCAACAAAATATTGAATAAATGTAGAATAAAAATGATGACACTGTTAAACTGGCCAGTAAAAAATATGATTTTTTTCATCAGTCAGATTGGAGACCACCTGTCAATCAATCCAGTGGGCGTGTCAGCAACTGACCAATCAGTGATTTAAATTTGTCCCAAAGTGAAACGCCCCTTTCCTGCTGGAGCTCCACCCCCTCTTCCTCTGACAACATGGTTGGGGTTTTGCATGAACAACTCTTGGTGAACAGAGAGAGTTCATGAAAAATCATCAGAAAAATTCAGTAAATGTCGTCGGTGGAGAACTTGTGATTCAGACAGAGTTACTGTGAGACTGTAGACGGTGGAACACAGTTCAGTACATTTCAAAACCTCAACAGAGTCTGGAAAAATGTCAACGATCCTAAAGCCCTGGCCGACCTCATGATCAGCTGATTACAACAGTGATAAACAGGAACATGTTCATCTGCAGGTAAATCCTCCATTTTCTCTCATGACAGTGCTCGTTGTGTTAATGGTTCAATTAAAGGTTAAAGCTTAAAGCTAGCTGTTTTATTTAGTGTGTTTTGAATGTAGATGTGTTGTAACTTCTTGTTGCATGAGTTTAGTCTTAGTTCTGATCTGAACTGATTTTGTGCAAAGTTGTGTAATGTAAAGCAGAGCGCCATGTCTGTAGCATCTTAGCTAACACGCTGCTAGCTTAGCGCTACTTCTTGCTGTGCCATGATCTTTAAAATAGTTATTGAATAACTGTTTACTCATGTAGGTAAACGTAGATGTTTAAAAACGTGTGTACACCAGGATGCATGATGGCGTCGACTTTATTCAAAAGTTTCTGGGGGAGGACCCCCAGACCCCCCCACCAGTGTACCCCAATGGCCACTGCGTTGTTCAAGCCAAGAGTGATTGTCACCCTTGGGGGCAGAGTACCCCTAAAAGTTAGATCCTAGAATTGCCCCTGGGCCGTGCACGCTGCAGCCGTGCGACCTGTTGGGGGGGGGTTCAGTGAAACGGCAGCGGGGGTCATCGGCTGTTTTCTCGTTTGCTTTTTGAGCTGCAGACCACCTGTGTGCTGTTACCAGTAAGTCCAGTTTGACTTGTTCCGCCCAGATCTGGACCTCGTTTTTGATGCGAGATGACGTAGAAGCTCAAAAACTCAGAATGTGAGTAAAACTCAACCTGGATTCAACTTGAAACATTTGAGGAGAAGGTTTCAGGAGTTACACGTGTCTGCAGGTGTGTGCGCTCCCTCTGTACCTGTGACGAACACACAGTGGGTGTCGGTGAAGCTGCTGTGGACCCCTGTGTGCAGGACCACCTGGGCCTTCATGCAGTACTCCGCCCCCTCCTGCAGGGAGGCGATGTGCAGCACTTCCTGTTCGTCGGACATGACGTGAACCACCGGCTGGAGGAAACACGAGTTTCAAAAGTCAGGATGTTTTCTTGTGATAGTTCGGCTGTTCTGTATTTAAAATGAAACGAGTCAGACCTGCAGCTCGTGGTCTTTCCTCCACACCGTCACTCTGCCAGTGGCGGTCAGAGGTTTCTTAATGGACACCTGGAGGACGTCGCCCGCCATCGTCACCTTCATGTCAGGAGCCTTCAGAACAGCTGCAGAAGACAAGAATTTGAATCGTTTCACTGAAAAACTAAACCGAAATCATCTTTTAGAACCGGGTCGTGCTGAAAACGTACTGTCTTTCCTGTTGAACTGGGACCCGGTCCAGGCTGAGAGCTGCGGGCCGCACTGCGCCCGGACCTGAATGATGTAGTCCGAGTCAGAACCCAGGTCGTGGGTCAGGTCGCACCGAGTGACCTGGATCTGCTGGCATTCTGGAGGCTTCAGCCAGGAGCCGTTCATCAGACGCTCAAAGTCCCTGAGAGGACAAAGAAACAGACCTGGAGGTAAAACGTCAGTTTTTGTTGCACTTTTATTTAAAATTGTTCTAATTGGGGCTGACATCTCCAAGTGAGCTGGTACGTCTGGTACACATCAGCGACACGACATACGGTCAGTTTCTGCAGCTACGGTCTCTTCTGTCAGTACGCAGACTGCAGGTTTCACTTCCATTCATCATAAACTACATTACCCACAAGGCATCAGCTGGAGAGGGGAGGTCATGACTGGGTCTGCACTGCTTCTGATTGGGTCAAATACAGGGAATCACGACTGGTTAAAAGTTGAGCACAAGGAGCCAATCAGAGGCCGAACTGGGTGAGATTAGTAACATTAAACTAATTAGATAATTATTATAAACTAACATCTTCAAAGGTGCTGCTGATAAATGTTTATCTTCAAATGAATAATTGATTTGGCTTAAAAAAACAATAAAATCCTGCTTTTACAGAAACTAGAGTAACTCCTTGTTTCATAAGTAAAGGCTGAGTTACATGTAGAAAAGAAAAATGGCTGCCCTGGCTGTTGTCTAAATGCTGACTCAGCGAGTTTCTTTACGTCTTTTATTTCATGCTCTTGTTTGTGTTTTGTGGTCTAAAGTCTTTGATGAAATCAGCCGAACAACAAAGAAAGCAGCTTCTCCCTCTTTAGCCTCGAGGTCGTTTCTTCTTCTTGTGTCTCGGTTCAACTCCGGGACATTTCGAACAAAGAGAGGGGATTTTAAAAGCTCCTGTCAGCCTCAACAACAATCACCTGTCAGCGGCCGCACGCCGAGCGAGTTGCACAACAACCTTCTGCTGCGTCGAGGGATCGTTGAGTTCAGCTCTGCAGGTTTTAGACAGAAACTATAGACTCGTTTCTCTTCAAGTTGTCTTAAGAAAACTGCATGAAGTAAGATTATCTCAACATTTATCAACAAAAACAGAAGAGGTCAAACCTTTTTATATTTAAAACATCATATTATAAAAGTCACCGAGGGCCACGTTTGAGAGTTTGACCCACGCTGTGGAGTGAAAACATTATTCATCCTTACAACGCATGAATAAAATGTTTTCACGCACTTCCTGTGTGTGGTGCGTTTGAGGCCTCGCCCTCTGACTGATGTCAGTTTTTGTTTCTGACCTTCAGTTTCAGCAGCTGCTTTTTCTGCTGGGAAAGTCCTGACCTGCAGGAAAACACCAAGTTTCATCAGAAGCTGGGATTTCCTGCAGGGAGGCGACACACCGGCTCATCGCCTCATCGGTTCATCGCCTCATCGCCTCATTAGCTCATCGGCTCATCGCCTCATTGCCTCATTAGCTCATCGGCTCATAGGCTCATCTACTCATCTGCTCATCGGTTCATCGCCTCATTGGCTCATCGCCTCATCGCTTCATCGCCTCATTAGCTCATCGGCTCATAGGCTCATAGGCTCATCTGCTCATCGGTTCATCGCCTCATCAGCTCATCGCCTCATCGACTCATTGCCTCATCGCCTCATTGGCTCATCGCCTCATCGGCTCATCGCCTCATTGGCTCATCGCCTCATTGCCTTATCGGCTCATCG